TTTGTTTATATATGATCGGCTAAACACGAACACAGTTACACGAGGCGCATTCACGTAAATCAATTGAATCATGTTCGCTCACATTTGTTACTAGCGTTAGCTCATGATTACTGTGTTTGCTTGCTGTTCGCCACACATTTATCAACGAAGATTACGTCCGTTGTAACCAGCTAGAAACTTTTATTGTACATGAATTTGTAAAACGATTCTTCCACACTGTAAAGAAGTACAGTAAATTTCTGCTTTTTCGCTAACAATGAAACCTAGGGTTGAAAATCCATTATTTTAATTTCTGTTATTGCTGATCCGGATCAATGTTGAAACTGACATAATTCCATTAAAATCCACATGATAAGTAAATTTCCATTATTAATGTTCGGTAGGTAGCAATTATTGGTTGGGACATTTCTCCGAGCTAAAGGTTATTCAATTAATCAACCTAATTATGTATTTTGAAGAGAGCAAATTGTCACTTTCTGTGATGGCACTAGACTCTGTTAAAAGGTATGCTTTGATATGACTGCCAAGGCTCTTGTGTTGTATGTTATTAAAGTGCGGCGTTTTGAATAATGGATCAGTCAAGAGATTTCTTAAGAATCAAATACGTGATCTTAACTATATGCAAATGTCAAATTGTGTACTTTTTAAAGATTCTTAAGCCAAACGATTAGCAGTTATTTCGTTAAATCACCAGTTGGCAAAAACTTCACACCTAAAGCTAATGCTGTGGGTTCGATTTATCTAGGAGTAAAATTTGTCGATTAAAAAAGATGATCTTAGGCAAAAATGCACTGCGAGCCAATTACCACCAATAACAATCTGATATAGAGCATTATCATGAATATTTGGTCGTAAAAAGCTTCATTAACAACCGGTTTGCAAAATAAAGTTTAACGTTCTGATTACATAAATGTGTAGCGGCATCGTGTTCTGAAAAATAAAAATGAAATAACGGAGTAGCAGCCCTATATTAAGTCATGAAAAATGTGCATTTGTACACGATTAGTGCATTTATATAGCTTCGCTAACCATCGGTCCTTGAACGAACAGAGTTTCATGATGTCTATTCACATAAATCGATTGAATCCTGTTCGCTCACGCTTGCGAACTGAGTTCTCACACGATAGCTAAGTGTGCTCGCGTGCCGCTCGCGACAGGTGTTTGGGCGTTAAGGCCAATTTGGTAGTCAATTCTAAGATTTTTAACTAGCATACTTCGATTAAAAACTCGAATTTCGGTAATTAATGTGGTACGTGCATCATTATAAGTATTAATATTATAAAATTCTGCTTCGCAACCCACTCAAGTTAAAATAGTCAACCACAGAAGTATGGGACTACGAAGACTTCGTCGGTGATCCTGCAAATGAAACGCACAGATGACTCAAAGTAAGCCTCATGATTGAAATATTTTTGCTTTTACTATTACAAAGCGCACGCTATACTGAATGTATCGGAAGTTACGTTGGACCTGGCGACATTAAAGTCGTTAATTACATTGCTTAGTGTTCATGAAAATGCTTGATTCACGACGAACACCATCTAGTGCGGTCAAGGGTTGCGTTTATTTTTGTGGAAAAAAACACTTAACCTTTGCACCCATGAGACGTGGTATATAAAAGAAGGCCATCGCGTGCAAATTGGACTAAATACTCGAAATGAAACTGGAACCCTTTTACATACTGGTGACTTTGGTTGTGGTTGGAGCACACCCAACAACGCCTTCGCCGGAATGGCCGACAAACGTCAGCACATCAACCGGGCCAGAAATTAACGGGACTGGCTTAACAACACTGCCAACAGAAGTGACACAAACCCAACAAACTACCGAGGCGGCCAAGACGACAAAGAAGCCTATCCTCCAACAACTCAAGGAGCCCTACTCACTTGATGACTTTGGATACGACTTTTTGCGAGATGAGTAAGGAATCAAATACAACCACGTACTAATAAATTGGATCTTTAATACATAATCTTGATATATTGCATTTAGTTTGGTCAGAGTCTAAGTCACACCTCGGGAATTGCGATAAATTTTTTTGTATTGTGGATTTATGATATCGGAAGATTCTACAAACTGCGCAGTGCGAATGAGATAGATGAACCAAAGAGTGAGCATGGGATACTCCGGTCACAACACTTCGAATAACATTATGGCTAAACGAAACTATTTCACATGCACAATATCGTAAGGCTTGAAGGCTTCACCCGAACGCATCTTTTTCTAATGAATTCGGGCTGCGTCTAATGGAAGTGACAACAGCAAAGGACATTGCAGACAGCACACTAATCATACGCGAATACTCTACTTAATTACGTGTAAAAACACCCAATAAAGTTCTATAGAACAGATGCCGTAGCGAACACAAAAGATTTTCGCCTATAGAACAAAAGCACAACGGCAATTTTGTCTAATTCAGCGAAGACTACTCATCAGAAAGGGTGAACCCAGGAAGAAGTCAAATACCTGCATAGCGTTGAGTTCATGGTGGGCACACCGATGTGAGGAACTACTTGGAGAGCAGTAAACGCAGATTCCTGTTGGAGGCACTGATTCCCAAAGCACTACGCGGCACTGACAGTTTTCACTAAAGCCAATAGTTGCCAAATAGTAAAAGGAGTCAAATGGGTGATGGGAATTAATTTAAGGCACATTGACGGAGAAGGGGGAACACCTCAGGTGCTTCGAATGTACGGCCACCCACCACCAAACGATTGCGCGTGGAGCAAACAAGACAGTAAGTACGACGTGCGCAGATTGCACATGCATCAGTAGCACAAACCAAGTAGCCAAAAATATAAAATTAAGGTAATCATATAATAATAATAATAACAATATTACGATACACGGGATGCTCACAGTAAAAATGCCAAGCGAAGCATCAATAAAAATACACATATAAGTCAAGTAGCATCCCGAAGAAGAGAAAGGGCATTATAAAAGGTCATCTGGTCCTGTGGAGGCATTTTCAGATGGTAGTCAAGATTGCAAAAGAATGAATCACAGCTTCGGATACGGTGCCAAGCGAGTTCCCACAGCAACGTGCCATCCAGCCAAAGAAGCGCTGGCGCGTAATTTGAGAGACCGTTTTCTTCCAACCAGCGTCGCACGCGACTCGCACTCCAGGACTTAATTTCTGCCGACGGAGCTTGATATGCCAAAGCGATCGCGGAGTCTTCGAGTTTAGAGGAAGTGGCGCTTTCTTCACAGTGACTCCACATGGATGACATCTGGGAGACACTGTAGCTAGAACTCTCGAGCCGCGACTCCGAGGTGTGAGTTGGGGAACCTTTGAAAGTAAAGTCTAGACTTGGCAATCACACGTAAACAGCGGCACCGCCAAATCTGAATTAAGGAGGAATGCTTGAGCCACGACCAATTGTTTTTGCTAACACCGCGTCTCACTGTGACTAGTTACTCAAACGTTCTCTTTTGGTCTCCAACTGATTTTTAAGGCTACCGATTCACTGAATACAACAGTGTCACTGAATACAGTGTCACCGATTTACTGAATACAACAGTGTCATACTTAGGGTTATGATAATATGAATTTGGGCGAGACGAATTTCCCGAAAAACGCAGGAATTTTCTATTCCAAGTGGTTATGGAGAAAATCCGACAGATTTTTTATGATAAAAATGGCAGAGCACTACTATGATAAGCGAGGGATGTAAAAAAGGTCACGTGACACAACCCAGAGGAGTTATCATATTTGAGAGCAGACAGGTCTTTTCACAGACAACTTGGAAGCTAAGTCCCAACGTAGCCTTGCAACTACACAAAATTAGCCCACAAAATACGTTCTCGTCAAGTTCAGTTTACATGGCGTGAAGGTATGAGATACAAATGTGAAGTCGAATGAGGGTACGCACGCGCGGGAAACAAAAAAATTTTTAAAACGCAAAAAGTCAGTTTGGTAACAAGATTAGTTAGAGAATGGTCGCTTCAACCAGTAGGCCATTCACAAACAAAACGAATGGAATTAAATTTCTACTATGGTAATGATTTTTCCGTGAAAATTTTAGTAAACATGCATGTAGGGTCAGCTTTACTCTAATTAAAGTGCAATATTGCACGGGTTTTGAGTAGACACGAAAGTGGTAAGTTTGATCCATCAAGTCAGCTTGTGCCTGATGCAGGCGATTCGCACAGATTTCGTGCCCCAAAACGTTGAAATCAAGTCCCTCATTTGTGGAATAGGCGGTGGTTGGTGAAGTTGCGAATTTTTATAAATTTACATACCCTAAAAAACCTCTTCTAATATTTCATCTTCAAGAAATAACGTGATTGATGAGGTTGAAATTTAAAAAAAAATGGGAGAGGAATGGGAGATATGTTAAGAAAACCCTACTACAAAAAACACCGTTTTAGAATAAAACAAATATTTTTAACCTTTCTTACCAAAATGAATAATGGGTCGGCCTCTTTCAAGAATCTGGAAATGACAGTTAACTGGTACAAAATTGGCAATTCAATCGAGAATTTACATGTCTGTAAGACATAAAACACTATGAAGCTATTGGGTAGCAAGATGATATTTTGAGTCGATACTAATTTGGCCAACTTCATGCCCAAATTAGTAAGGTTGAACGTTTAATTGTGCGAATTCTCTGATCACTTCAGTAATATTAAACTGTTTATGTTGAATCCACACTAGCGACAGAACACACCCATCGGTAAATCGATAGTAGTCAAAGGGTAATGGTCGCTGCACTCGCATAGTTTGTAAAGAGGGCAGCAAAAGGGAAGAAAAATCGAGGTCACGTTTTGGCTAAATGCTGCAAACTTTCAGCCAATGGATAAATTACGTCCTACTGACATCTTATTAGTACACTAGAATATGCGTATATGAAACCAGGATCTGGAATGGATCCTACCGCTTGATGCCAAATTCGGTGTAAAGATTATTGGAGCTGAATAAAAAAAAATGCAATCGCTACTGAAACCAAAGAACATGCTAGGTAGAAACCTACATCTAGAAAAGGGTGGTGGTTGGAGATCCTGGAGGTTAGCCTGAGTAGCGCACTTGCTGGGAGTTGGGGTTGACGAGTTGCTTGAGTCTGCTTCAGGAATGAAATAATGCGTTAGATGTGCTCTGAAGACCATCGACGCGAACTACTTTGACATGAATTACGGTATTAAAAACAAGTTTATAGTGATGAAGTCAACACAAACCAAAAACAACGGTAAATGACACAAATACTACATAAGTATTACGCCTGACAACAAATAATGCTCTATCTGTTTAAAATCATTCGAAATTAAAATGGTGATAGCCTACGCCGTTGACTTCCACTCAACTACGTGGTTTTGATAACTAATTGAAGCCTTAAACGTTTATAAAAAAAGGTGGTATGACGTTACGAAATTTCAAGTGGACACACATAAGGACACATCAATGCATTTATCGGAACAAACTTGAACTATAGGGAAAAAAATCAAAGAACCCATTTCAACACCATTTTTTGAGAGCAGAGTAGTAATTAGTCGATTAAATGCTACTTTAGACTGCATTTTTTTTAAGGCATAGCCCCAAAATTGACATTGTTGTGGATTAAAATTAAAGCCAAAGGCGCTCAATTATCGATGTGCTAATATAAATTATTTGGAGCACAGGGAAGTAACGATATGCGTTTTACTTTAATAACCATAGACAAATGATGTACCAGCCAAAAATTGGAAGTTGCAGCTCTGCATCACAGATTTAGGCGAAAATGTCAAATACGATGGCGTAGAGGTCATTCGGGAAGTTGCAGAGGAAGGCTCGCTACCACATGCTGACTTGGGGCGCTGAAACGCCACGGCTTCTGGGGACGCAACGAGTGCGTGTGGAGGCTCATTCAAGAGTGCGCCGTCTACATCGCAGGTCTGCCGCACAATGCCGTACTTGGCTAGAGCTAACGAAAGGAATTCGGTTGCCTGTTCGGGATCATCGCGGTCAGTAAAAGACGTGTAGATCACAGTTGCAAGAAGGTAGTGCAGCCACGCCTCAGGCTCATAATTACTCTCAAGTAACACCGGGATGAGCGCCACACGATGGGAAAGGGCTGAGAGGACCTGCTGTCGGCAAAAGGGGGACGTGCTAAAGGAATAACTCAGACAGAGGATCAGTGCAGACGCGTCAGCTAGTGCGTCCTCCATATCTGTTAAACAGGAAAAATAAGGATGTATTTACATGAGTTCCGAGATGCAAAGTAATAAATTTCGACTTTGCAGAATGCAAATTACAAGTTAAGTGGTGCATAGTCTAGGCCAAATGTCCGGTATTTTAAGGGGCAAGGAAAAGCCCCATTCGCGGTTTTGCACTATGTGAAGTAGGTACTTGTACAATGCCATTGGAATTAAAAGGAAAAATGTTTGCATATCTATCGAATTAGGGCAAATCCTTAAAACTAAGCACTTAGAAGACGGAAATTGTTCGCACTTACGCATTCTATCTGACTCAATGTAAACATTGTAGCCACGATCCCTGAGAGCTAGCTTTAGGTCATCAATGACCCTATGGTGGTTTGTTCGACTACAAGCAAAAACAATGTGGCCATAGGGATTGGCAGTGGTCGAGAGTGGGGAGGAATTCAGGCTACCCGCCGTTTCAAAGTCCTTGAGCGGTTTTGATAGTGACCAAAAAAGCCCTTCAACTGCTTCGCGAAAAGTGGTTGAGAAGGAACTAGCATTGAGATCACGGCAGAGGGCAATCAGGGAAGTGTCCTGCAAGAGTTGCTCTCGTGTTTCAGACAAGAAGCATAGTTGCCATAATAGCCGAACCACTTCTGTAGCCAACTTATTTGGGTCCACATGAGAAACAGGGTTCTGTGAAAACTCATCAGGTTTAGAGTTCTGGAGATTTTTTGCAATGCTCAACATTTTTGAAATGTCACCTAGTATTTCGCCTTCCAACAACAGTCTTTTATTGGCATCGAAACGGGTCAGCTTATTGAGTCCACGAATGAGATCATGCAAATGATGTCGGTGATTTGAAGAGTAAAAGTCTGGTGATTGGAGAGCGGTCCTCAGTGCCGAAAGAAGATAAGATACGTAGTTTTCCGTAGAATTGATTGATTTGTTTTCCTTTTCATTGACAATAGATATTAGAAGCAGAATGGCAGCCATCTTTAGATCATCGGCAGGTTTTGCACCACGAACCTTGGATTCTGATATAAATGGGCGCAGAATGTGAACCCCATTACAGCTGCGATAATCACCGACAGAAACCGGTGTGCGCGTTAGAATATTTAAAAGTATTCCGAATGACAAATAAACCAGGAGTTTCAAACGTGGATGCTGGACACATTTGGTCGCGACTAAATGTCTGCAACAGACAAAGCGCCACAACAGCAAGTGTACAGAATTCGACCCTAGTTTTTCGCAAACCCAGTAACTTTCAGTATACTTTTGTCGGCATATATTCCACAGCAAGCCATGTAACTTTAGGAAATTTATCACTTGAGGGGATTTCGAGTTTGTGAGTGCACTGAGTTTTGGCTCAGCTACGAAATAGTCCAAGCACTTTTTATAGTAGGAGAGAAATTTTTCCTCATCCAGAATTTTAACGATATCCGATCTACATACTCTGCTGTCTAAATGATCAGTAATGTTGCGCAGTTCAATAAACAAATCTCGGGTGCTTTCCAAATGCAAATTTTCACAAGGGTGAGATGAAAAAGTAGTAGAGAGCTTTACCAAAAGTTCCGCATTACTGTCATGCAAAACGATCATTAAGGGAAAGAAACTACAGTGAAATACCAACTCCGGCTACAAATAACGCAAGCAACACAAAAAGGACGACCCCAACCTACGAATCAAGAAGTGTGGCTGAGGATCAATCGTTTAAAACGGCAATTTTGTAAAGAGCTTAAGGCAAAGGGAAAAAAACAAATTAGACATTTTAGCAGTGTGCACTATCAAAAATCTAACTTAAAAAAATCATGCCCTACGTGTCTATTTTGACGTTAAAAAATCACCATTATTTATTTAAATTTCTTAGAACATATTTAAACACAATTTTCATCAAAGTTAACTATTTACAATGTTTATAAGAATGTTCAAATGGAGTAATAACCGTCCACTCCGGCAATAACAGTAAAAGTAGCAATTTTAGCAGATCGGATCTTTTGATTTCTACAAATTACATTCTAATGGACACATTAAAAGCGCACTACAATAATATTTATCTGATATATAATTTGTAGAATGCGTTGGGAAATTTAAGCGTAAGAATGCTAGTTTTCATTTTTCATTTTTTTGTCTATTTGTTTGATGAGATATCCAAGGAAAACCACAGCAACATTTGAACATTTTTCTTTGTTGTTGGAGAATACCAAACAAAATATGTTTGAATGCGCATGCTAAAAATGCTTAAAGATCAAGAAAAAGTGTTTTTCGACTTTGTTGTATGTGAAATTTAAACAATATTTTGTGATAATCTTTGAAAAAGTAAACTGCGAGACCTTGTGAAAATCACATTTCTTCTGCATTTTTTATGGAAAGAAAAAGAAAGAGGTAGATTTGGAAAACGCTGGCTCGATTTAGATATTTAAATTTGGATTTGGGAAACGGGCAAAAGCGTCACTGAAGCGCGCTGTCATTAGTAGCGAATAGGTAATTTCACCCCAAGCCGAGTCTACTGATGAACGTATTCGTATTTAAATCATATCTTAACTTCAACTGCATTTTATTCTAAGCATTTTTATGATGAGAATGCAATATTAATTGCAGTTCATGCGTCCCAACTTTGAAGCTTAATGTTTTTGTACAGATACTAAATGATGTGATGGATTATCATGAACTTTTATCGTTCTTTGCGAAGAACTAGGTTTAAAAGACCCAAAATTTTGTAACAGCATAGGCTCCTGAAATAATTTGTGCATTTTAATGTACTTACAATTTATTTATAAAAGCCACATTCCACTTATAAGGCGTAATTGAAAAAAGTTTTGAAATAAACTGTTTAGTTTGATATTTAGGTGCCTTACTCCTCTTTTTGAGGAACTGTGCATGTGTTCTGAAAAAAATTACGGCTAAATCGAATTCTCATGTTCCTTGCCCCGTTCCATTAACAGCTTTCGAGGAAACCAGTGCATAAGCCCGGCAGCCTACTTTCAGTTCTACACTGGTGTTTGGAGTTCATTGGACGATTGGCTCATTTTAAGATGGCAAATTAAAAAAAACTAGAAATTGTTGAGATAATTTCGAATCTTGATTTTTTTTAATGAACAAGTGCATACCACCCAAAAACGGAACTTATGTTACTTTATAGAGCACGGTAGATCACTTTGCAATTACTAATATCATCATATCTTTGTCTTTATTTAATGATTTAACATTTTACTAGGACAGGCTGGCCTCTACGCCGAATCCCAGATTGTCATTGGCTCCATCCCACGTGCATCCGGTTATCTGCGTGGTGGCGCTTGATTTAACCTCTACGGCCTTTTTGCGCTTTCACGTAGTCTTTGCGGGTCGCCGATCGTTCGCCTAACTGTTTTTCGTATCCACTGTGGCAGGTATGGAAACTTTTCAAAATGTATAATGGGTCAATCCGATTTATTGACTTGGAATGATGGGGTATTTAATTTTCTCCACAGTGACATCGAATTCAACTTAACAGCTGTTTCAGGCAGTATGTCTTATTTTACTTCGACAGTATTGTGTGATTATTTGACGTTATTGTACCCTCTTTTCGAGTATTGTATTTTATTCAAATCCAATATTTTTTCTTAGTCTTTAAAACTGTGTGGCCCACTAAATTGATTGTGTTTCTAACTGATAAATCGCCTATGTTCGTACACCCTCTTTGAAAAGTAGTTGAAATTACTGTTTGTCGTTGCATCATGCAAATTGTTTTGGTTGTTTCGTTATGAGCTAAAAAGTATTCGCGGCTGCATATTCTTGCTTTCTGTTGCTTGATTTTGGCTTAATTATTTCTTCGCATATCTGATTCTAACATACGTTTGTCCCTCACTTATGAAGAAATCAAATTTAAGGGGCAGATCTTTGCGTAAGAATCGTTATATTTTTGATTAAAAAGCCGCATCTGGTTGAATTTTTATAATTGACCTTTGGACTGATGTCTTCGGGGTTATTCACGTTAATTGCTTGTCATGTCTAGTTACATTTGTGCCAAAATTGGTAGTTGCAATGTTTGAGTAATGTATAATTAATTCATTGTGTTGTATCTGGGGGTTGATAATGGGATTTTTTTACTGCACATAAATTAAATGACATTTTCAATTGGACTCCTTTAAGATATTAATATTAGGTGATAAATGCTTCGTTCTATTGCATAAATTACGCAGCTCTACTTCTCAGCGGAAGAGCACGTGTATTGAAACCATTTTCAATCGAAGACAAGTTGTCTATAAATGTATCATGCCCTAGAATTATGACGTTTTTGTTTTCAAAAGCGCCCCATGAAACAGCTTAATCGTATCGTAAGGGTTGTCTCTTTGTGTCGCACTGTGGGGATCTGAGATTCAGGGTACATCGGCCTAGTTGCCAGTGCATTGCCCAAAGATTCCCCGTTATTAAGTGAAGCCAGAATTTTGGTTTGTCGCAACCTACTCATTTGGACCTTGATCTATTTGCACCCATATTTGGATCTCTGCACTTGACGAGTTTTTAAGTAACTTGATTGGGTTTCGCTGGCTTTGCTGAAGCAGAGTCCTCACGATCAAACATTTCGTCAAATAATGAGTTAACTTATGTTGTTGCTCCTTGGGTGTCTGCTTCTGGCTGATTTTTGTTGGAAGGTCGCTTGTTTTTGCGAGATAGGGGCATGTGGGCATTTGCTTTTTCGTTGTGGTGGTGGTGGTGGTGGAATTTTGTTTCTCAATAGCGAGTTCTTTTATCAATATTTATCTGTGTTGATGTTAGATGCGCTCAAATGTTCAAACTTAATTCCCATGAAAAGTGTTTGTCTTTTAAAATAACCAATAACAAAATCCTTTGAAAATGCATATCAGACTCGTAAAAATGTGAAATTGTATGAAAACTTCTCAATATACTCGTTTTGGAAATGACATGAGGTTTTTAAAGAATTTCGCATATCTCCAGTCACGGGAAAATGTTCCACCTAACAGACTTTTGTAGTTTATGCACTTATTTTCATGAGCCTTATCAAATTTCTCCAGCTGTTTGACTTGAGATAGACATTTTCTTGGCAGGTCAAATGACAACTGAGTAATCAGACGCCTGCCAACCGGCCAGTCTTCGAGTAAGATTTACAACTCTTACGTTAATTATCGTGCCACTTTAAAATCTGCATAAAAGTAATGGCCGTGTAACTTTGACGCCTATAAATTTGTCACTCAGACAAGATTCTGGTCTTGTCATTTGAGGACTTGCGCTGCTCCGGTGCCATGTTTCCCCGTCATCTATTTAATCATTTTTTTACTCTGGCTGTCCTCTATTAAGCCTTTGTAAAAATCTTTTTCATGTTGATGTTCTTTTTTTCCCACCTATATCCACACACAGTAAATTGAAAAAAAAAACAGCAGAGTAGTTTAGGTGTTCTCGCTTGCACAGACTTAAAAGCTTGGCTTCACGTTCGCGAGAGCGTGTGCATGCGCGCTTGCGCGTTCACTAACTTTCGTTTCCAAGGCTGAACGAGCGTCTGGTCTTTAAAAGTCTCTGTCCCATTAGAGTCAGGCGCTTTGCGCAATGGCGACGCTTTCCCGGGCATATTTCGAGTGCCCGCGAAAACATTGTAGTTTTGTTAGGAAAACAACTTTGATTTATTTTTTTCCTGCTCGACGCAGTGTAGGCTTCTGCATTGTTACGTCTAATTGTTTTCCGTCGATCTTCCCTATCCGTGATTCTTTTCCACTGTGGGGCGAGGGGGCCAGAAGCATGGTGGTGGTACTACTCACATCTTATCTACCAAGTCGCATTTATAGAAAAAAAGGTGTGCGAAATCATCGAGACTGTCGCAGTCGCGGCCAGTAACTATTAATTAGTATTTGTTCTTTTTTTAAATTTTGGCACCTTTGAATTTTTTTCGAGAATCTCAATCAATCCTTATATGCTACTATCAGCCTTCTGCTCGCTCGGCAAAAATGCTTTGTTGAATGGTGCATAGTGAGTTTTCAGACTTGTAACTGAAGAATTGTGCCACGCGGTTAGAGTTTAAGCACTATATTACACTTCAGGTTTCCACAAATCTAGCCTTGGTGTGACGAATATTTTGTAAAGGCATTGCGTATTTTCTGAACCACGCGAATACCTAGCAACTAATTAGTGCTATAATCTGACCACGGGCGTCGTATAATGTGTAATGATTAGGAATAAGTGGTCTCTTTTTTCCTATAGGCCGAAGAGGGAAGTTGTAATTTACTGCAGTTTCGAGTGTTGCAAGCGTTGACTAGCAATGTCGCATCTGGCCCTGCGTCGGGCAGCAACTGATTACCCATCCTCTAATGATGACAGCCAACTAGTCTCCCCGTCCAGTGTTGCAAGCGGTAGCACCAGCAACACATTAACTGCCAGTCTCCCCACAAGGCCGTTCCACGCAACCTCGCCTTACGCGGACAGCTTAAGTCAACCCTGTGAGAGAAATCAAGCATTATTGACAGGAGATGGTAGTGGTAAGCTTCTACAATTCAGTGATTCTCGGTCGTTGATGGTTTAAGCGTACGCTTCATTGTAAGCTTGGTAGATTAACAGGCTCACGATTGCCGAACTGTCTTTTTTGATATTCGATCTTGTCAGAACCACGTTGGATTTGATGATTGCCCTTGATTTGTAAATAGTTTAGGAAGTCTTCTCAGAACCACTACGACTTAATTTTTTATCGTGTTTGTCACCTCGTCACCAAACTGTCGTCTCTTACCCTCAGTAAAAAAGTAATCTTATCAACTTCACGAGGTCTTTCACCGCGCACCTTGCCATGTACAATTTGCTGCTAATAATAGGCATCTCCAGGCTGTTTGTTTTTAAACTCGAAATCCATTCTCCAAGATTTACGCAATGGTATCAAAGGTAAATAGACTGATAAATTTAAACAATGGATGTTTATGAATGTGACTTCTCAGCACGTGATACCCATACATGGAGACTGTTGCCGTGGTAGATCACTTTCTCAACGCGACAATATGCCTTGACTTTAGTGTAGCAATTTATTAATTGTCATTTTAATAAACAATTGAAAAGAAATGTTATAATAGACACATTTAAACAGCGTAATATCCGCCAAAAGCTTCATGTGCAGTTCATTCAAAGGTATTTCAGTCTTTTCATAAAATGTGCCGTCATATTATTATGATGAGACGGTCAGAATTTCCTAGGGGGTATCGTGAATTCCAGATTCTAATTTCCGCTGTACAACAGCAAGCCGATCTGCCGTCATTTTGACCAAACCTCAGTTGCTCTGAAAATGACTTGAACCCAAACCTGGACAGTGACGATTCCGTTCTCACTATCAAGTCTTTTTACGATGTGGTGTGTTCTGCGGTGATGGGAACAGCGATTGACGTTTCCAGTGGACCTACTCTGATATTCTGTTTTCGATTTTCACAAAATCCCACCACTGTGATCTGCCTTGTCGCCTTTTGCTCCATAAATTGCTACCAGTTTGCTCCCTTGCTTCACGTGATTAATGTGTACGCACACGTGCACTAATGGCGTAATGCCCTTGGGTGTCGTTTTGCCCAGCAAACTCCCAATCCGCTTCACGCATGTAAATTCATTTAGCCATTAGCTCCTCAGATTTCGTGTTTTTTTAGTTGATTACCTCGACTCGCAGGTATGCAGAAGTCAATAGTGGTGATTTATCGAATCCCCTAGGGCGTCAAATTAGTGCTGTGTGCGCGTGTTCGCCCGCCTACTGCACCCGCAGCTGACTAAATCAAGTGGGTAGACCGTCTGGATTTTAGACCAAGTGGTGAAGATGATTGATTAGATTTCCTGATGTTTTCGGATTCAGTGCAAAACGTTATTGTGTAGAAACCATTCATCGCCTCCCACATGGTGAGGTAGAGCTGTGGGTGTAGACAGATTGAATCGGAGATCAATCTGACTTACGATCCACTCTAGAATATTATAGTTCTATTTAGGAATCGCCTCTTACCTTTGTAGAGACTTTGTTGGACCTTAGGTTGCAATTTTACTTTATTTAAAATGACGTAAAACAAAATAATGACTGAAAATAATTTTTGGTTGAAAGTTTTGCGTAATCAACCACTGCTCTTGAATGTGTTAATATTACCATCAATTTTTCTTCAATTCACGTTGCATCGTGAGCCAAACGGAATCCCAATAAATGCGATCGCCTGCCCCTGTATTGAAGTTCACAAATGCGAAACATTTTTACAGTAGTTTGGAGATTTGGTAATTATTGCTGTTGTGCTTGATTGGCAAGTTTACATTTGGCTAAAATACGCGTGAAGCGACCAAAATTTCTATAATGTTTTCTGACTGCCGAAGCAGTGGTGTTTGTCTTTGTAAGGCATTTTCATGAGGTCGTCTTAAAAGTTACGTATTCATTACAAGATTCGGCCTTTAAATGTCTAGTGTTTCTTGGCTTTCTTACTGAAATTCTCATTTTTATTGTCCGTAAATCATAGCTTACCTCGTCTTCAAGTTTGATGTTGCAGGAGACCCTATCCCATTTTGCAGGTTTAAGGGAAAAAGGAACCGGATGAAATATCACTTGATTCGATTTTATAACACTGTCATGCTGGTGGCGTGGGTGATGTGTTAGGTTATTTCAGACACGTTACCACTCCTCTCTAACGTTTGCCGCAATCTTGTTCGAGTGAATAAATCTAAAGTCTCAATGACTTTAGGAGTTATCAAGATCTGAAGAAGAAGGTGCACATTTTATAGCTTGAGACGCAAACAGTAGCTCTGTGCCTTGCCTTCTAAAGTCTGCAAATGATTTGGCTTCAGAAAACTGTCCATTAAAATCCTAGGAATATTTGTAATTTCTCTGCGATCTAGGTCGAGAAGAGGAATTTGCACGAACTCGGTTGAGAGCATTCGCAGTGTAACGGCCACCCGAAGCCTTGCGAAACATGGCATACTCGAAGCCCATTTTTTCGAGAGAATTAGTTTATGACAGCCTCCTCAGAAGTAGTAGGTCATCTGCAAATTCCCTATTTACACACGCCTCCTCGTGGAATTAACTCAACCAATGAATTCCCGGTTCTCTCGTTCTCTGTGTTTGGGTGGGTGCTTAGCTGTAGCAACTCGTAGAGCACAGCTGCAATGCAACTATGCCAGGTAGACAGGGGTTCATGTAGGTGCAAACTAGCCTTTGCGGCCATGTGATTACGAACCGCTCCCCTGCAACATGACTCGTTCTTCTACCGTCGAATGATGCTGGTTCCTAAGCCAGTGATGTTACTGATCGGCTATGTTTGTGAAAAATTTCTCCAGTGTAGTTACCACATATTTCCAACTTACAGACGGCCAATCCCAATTTCAATTGATTTGATACATTCCCGGTTCTTTCATCCAACTTTTTTGTCAATTTAACCTATGCAGGTTATTAGCCTACCCTGCATTGACCTTATCTTCACAATGAACTAGAGTTTTATTTGCATCTACGTATTAAGGTCGGTGGAACGTTCCGGATGAAGACAGCGAGGGCCAAAATCGTTTTGGTGATTTCTCAGCCAGCAGCCACACCGACATCTCCCACTTCTCGAATTCAAATTTCGACGCACCACTCCACTCTTTCAGTCATTCAATGACTCCTTCGTTGAAGAACTGGTGTTCGGTCTTCTACTATGAACTAAACAATCGTGTTGGTGACGTCTTTCATGCATCAAAACCTAAGCTAACTGTCGACGGCTTCACGGCTCCATCTTTAGGCACTGAAAGATTCAGTTTAGGTGGACTCAGCCATGTTAATCGCCCGCTACAAGTCGACATGACTCGTCGTCATATTGGTAGGCAAAGTAGCGATTACTACTTATCTGTATTGTAAATAATTGAAACTGGCTAGTAGTTTACGTGTTGCTTCAGCTTTTTTGGCAAAATTAAATGTCGCCGGGTTTCACGATGCCCTACAGAGCAGGTAGTGCTCTTTGCTGTCCTCATGTCACAACTCGAATTATTCCGCACTTTTGCTTGCAACACGGCCTAAACCGGAGGCTAATGACAGGGGGAAAGTGTGTCACACAAAAAACACGTTATTCTTAAATCGCCCTTCTGGAATCCCTCAAATGTCCTCTGTTTGCGCGAATCAAATGCGTCACAACAACGAATACCCTGTAATGCAGAATTGAATGGAAATCCTTTTGCTCCATGCGTCGTGGTTAGCTTCACTCGCGCTTGTCTACAAATGTGCGCGTGGACTCGCCACCACGCGTGCTTGTGTCTGTTCTTGTGCAGTTGCCATGCTGTTATTAGTTGCAGCGTGGGGAGACACTTTGCAGCCAAGTGGAATGGGAGAGGAAAGACAACGTTGGAAGGCGTTCGACCCTTTTATTGCGCTGCTAAACGAGTTGCCGTGTGGTGTGACAGTGTGTTGTTGCCTACGTCTGACACTGAAATCACTGAACAAGAGTGACTGCGCGTGGGAAGTTAAGAGGACTCAGGGGATCGAACTCGGGCACACGTCTGACGTAGGCGAGGTGGTCGCCGACAGAATTCACTACCGTTGGTGTCCGTACATTTGGCAATCGAAATGCCTCAGAGCAGTTACCTGACCTAGTTCTAGAATTCGATGATCTTATTAGACGCCAGCAGTGTCTGAACTGACTGGCGAGGTAGTGAGCAGAAGACAGCCAAATATGTCTTTTGCACCGCAAATGCCATGCTGCAATCCCAGTGGTGTAGGTGCTTGTTCCACCCTCCAGCCTGTGAGGTCCCAGCGTGAAGTGAATATGTCCACGCTTTCGGGCATTGACGCCAATCTCGCCTTGGCCAGAGAAATGCGCTACTGGTTCCTTCTCATGGTCAGATTTGATTTGCATGGATGGGAGACCACCACCAATTTGTGGCCAGGTTGAAGGGTGCCTCGTTTATCCTTACTGTAGAAGCTTAATGAAGAAAGTGCTGCTGGTGCATAGAAAACGGTCATGCAAGGATTGTGTGCGCATACCAACTGCCTCTAATTTATTTCGCAATCTGCTGTAGAAACGTGTTGATGCATTTGATTGCATTTTGCTCGAATGCGAATTTGAATTCGCAACTAAAGAGTGACTTCATCATGCACCTCAGAACTGACATCTTGGACGTCTTTCGGACACAACTTTCTCGCATGCAACTAAGCCAATCGTAATGTGCTATTTGGTATGCGTATAAAGAAGGAAACGTCCTCATTTTGTGGTTCGTTGCAACTGAAAAGGGTAGATTGAGTTGGGAGGTTGTGAAGAAGAGATTGATGAGCAGACGGAGGTGATGGTAGTTACGATCAACCAAACAGCAGAGTGCATGTCGGTGTTTGAGTTGCACAGATGCATGTCATGCTGCCGTACACGCTGCCGCACACAAGGGTAAATCGGCTAATGTGACTGGAGTCAATCATGATTTATGGACACGTCGTCTTCGAGGGTGTCGATTAGCAAAGGAGATCGACGCTTAGCGAAGCTACATAAACGCACTTGTTATCCTGTACAATAACACGCAAGAAATAGTTAGTTGACTTGACTTGTCTGTCGTAACGCTAATAAACGGTTGTGTTCTCTGTCGGCCCTTTGGGCTTCGCTCTCCTTGGGTTGTTACCGGCTGTTAACCAAATGGTTGTACGGTAGTACCCAAATCGCCCGTTTCAGGGAATATTGAGT